ATATATATATATATATGTATGTATGTATATATATCTTTTTCTCAATGAAACATACTCACACGCTCGCATTGTACAAACTCTACGACAAGGTGGATCGTTTCGTTCGAAATAATTAAGGGAAAAAGGAAGGATCGAGCTTCGGCAATTCAAGACTAGTCGAACTTGATAATCATAGTTTACCGTCCTCTTCGCAATTCGATTATTCCGCTCGTTTTCGAGAATTTTTTTCGTTCACCTAGTTTACATTTCAAACCACGAAGAAGTTCAATATTTAGAGGTTCGCTTGAAATTACGATAAAATTACATTAGTTATTAGTAAATATTAGTAATATTTTAATTTCGCATCGACTAGTACAATTGAATTTTCGCGAGAAAATGTAACTGGTATAACGTTCGATCTTTTAAGAAAGATCTTTTAAGAAGAATTCTTAAAAATAAACAGAATCAAGTAAATCGCGAAAATCGGTAAGGAAAGGCGTAAATGCTCCTTGGAATGGACCATGTATCCTTGAACCGCCAAAGGTGCGAACAGAGAGAGAAAAAAAAAAAAAAAAACAGGAAGATCTTTCAGAAATGTCTGGGAAGAAAAAAAAAAAAAAAAAAAAAAAAAAAAACGCAAACGAGATAACGGATGATCGATCTTACAATACTTTCGAATAAAAAAGAAAAACAGAACGGAAATAGCATCGGTTTCCTGCCTGTTTCGTTCGTTTCTTCTTTCTACGCTCGAAGAACCTTTTTCTCTCGATCGATATTTTAAATGCTGCTGGACACAACGCTCGCTATTATTTTACCAAACACTTCCTTCGAGAACGTTCGAGATTAATTAATAATATTTAAAAGTCATTAAAGGATATGTACAAAGAGATATTAATATGAATATGCAGTAAATGTCGCCATTGCCGCAGGATCCGCGCGAAAATCGAGCGTTCCGTCTCGATCTTTCCGCGCGGATCGAACGTGGCGAGGATCAGCACGGTGTTCGACGATTTATCCGTGTCTTTCACATTTTCCAAGATAGATGTGATTAATATTTATACATATTTCGGAACAGTCTGTCGCATTTGGGAAGCATTTGTGTCGGGGCACGATTCACGATTCACAGGTCGCAACAACGTGGAATGTCGACATGATATACGAGACGCTCGAAAATCTTAAAAAAAATTCTTTTGTCAAGAATTCTTTCGAGACTTTTCTTCTTTTTTTAAAAATTATTTTATTTTATTTTTATTATTTTTTTTTTTTTCTTTTTTTAAGAACTTCGAGCGTTTCAAGTTAGGATACGATAGAGGGATGAAGCACCGTGTTAATCCTCGAGACTGCTACTTGTTTTCCACGCGCATTTTGGCAGATCGTTCGTCGCGAAAGGAGATGCCTTTGAAGTTAGGCCTTCTCTGTCCTAATAAACCGCGTTCGTTATTTTTTTTCTTTTCTTCATCTTTGATATTTTCGAGTATAAGAAAGAATAAAATTTTCAGTCGTACAATTCTGTCAATACAAATCGCATCTTTATATCGCACCATGAATATATTTTAGTTTTCTTGAATTATTGTTGATAATTTCGTCGCAGCCTGTCGACGAAACGAGCCGATATTAATTTTTTGGCGGTCTTCTCGTCTTTTTTAAGAATTTTATCTTGTCTCCTTAGGACAGAGGCTGGAAAGAGTCGGTCTGCTCGTTCTCTTTCGTTTAACACGCTCTTCTCGCACGGCGCGGATTATACATATAATAGATATTATATTTATATATTTATATATTTATAATATATATATATATATATATTTTTTTATATAAAACTAAAAGTACCGTGATACTGATAAAATTTCGGAAAATATTAGTTACCGACAAATGCGTTTCGGTGCTCAATTAATATTATTCTTCGATAACGATAGATCGAATTCGAGAAGGTCGAGAAATATAAGTTACAGCAGATCTAAAATTCGTTTTCGATTAATAATTAATTAGTTATTCGGTAAAAATAAGTTGAGCATACGCGATGCATATCGATTATTATATCCTCTCAATTTCCTTCCTGAAACGTTTAATACCTTGTTGTTATATTTATTTCCTCCATCTTTCTTTCTTTCACTCATTCGAACGCGCATGCATACTTACTTTCTCTCTCTCTCTTTCTCTTTCTCTCTGTCTCTTTCTCCCACTTTTTAAACTCATTAAACGCACGACTTTTAATATTAATTTTACTGACGATCGATTCTTCTCTCTTTCTCTCGTTCCTATCTAACGTACACTCGCGCTGGATATTATATTAGAGGCTGATTAAAATACTACGAGCCATATAAATTCACTCGTATATCATGGATATCAGAACTTAAAAAAAAAAAAAAAAAAAAAAAAAAAAAAAAAAAAAA